CTATGTGCCCTGACCAGGAATCGAACCCCCAACCTTATCGTATACAGGACGACACTCCAACCAAATGAGCCTCACTGGCCAGGGCTCTTTCTGTGGACTTGTTACTGTGCCCCTCTTTAGCAGCACTGCTTAAAAGTGGTTAGAAGCATGGATTTTACAGTCAGACATGCTTTATCCCCACCTACACTAGCTGTGTGGCCTTGGACAAGTTGCTTTACCTCTCTGAACCTCAGCATCCTTATCTATAAAATAGAATGAATAACTATTAAAGGATTGTGCAGGGAAGGAGCTCAACAGAGGGCCTGGCAGAGTAGGCATCCAGCCCACGTTTGCCGTCGCCCTGACATGACTTCCCTCCTGTGAGGAAGAGTCACCTGCCTTCCAGCTGGACTGTAGAAGCGTGTCTCACACACCTGTGTGCCCCGCAGAGCCCTTGCCACACAGTAGGGGCCCAGGAATTGGTGGAATCAAATTCTTTAAAAAGCCATTTGAAAAGAAATGCACAGCCGTCACCCTTTTGTATCAAATGCCTCCCAGGATAAACTGCGTGGCGTTCATTTCTGGCCCATGCGCCCTGCCCAGGGAGAGGCCCACTGGGACTCGGCTTTGAGCTGTGTGACGTCAGGCAAGTTGCTTAACCTCTCTGAGACTCAGAGATAGTGAGCTAATCATTTTTGAAAATGGCTCTGAGGACTGGAGGAGTTTGTGTTCTGATTCATGGTGTCAGGGGCAGCTGGTTTCATTATTGTTACTGCTGGTGTTTCTGTTACAGTCATGTGTTGCTCAACTATGGGGTCCGTTCTGAGAAATGCATGGTTAGGCCCTGGCTGGTGTGGCTCAGTGGACTGAGTGCTGGCCTGTGAACCCAAAGGTCGCCCGTTTGATTCCCAGTCAGGACACCTGCCTGGGTTGAAGGCCAGGTCCCCAGGTGGTGGTGTGTGAGAGGCAACTGATTGATCTATCTCTCACGCATCCATGTTTCCCTACCTCTCTTTCTCCCTTCCTCCCCAGTCTCTCTAAAGAGAAGATAAAAAATTCTTAAAAAAAAAAAGAAGAGAGAGAAAAATTCATGGTTAGGCTATTTCGTCCTTGCAGGAATATCAGCCCACTGTGCACCTGTCTCGATGGTGTACACAGCATGTTACTGTACTGACCACTGTAGGAGATTGTAACACAATGCTATTTGTGTATCTAAATGTAGAAAAGGTACAGTCAAATACAGTATAAATGATTTTTTAAAATGGAGCACCTGTACAGGGCACGCACCACGAGTGGAGCCTGCGGGGCTGGAAGGTGCTCTGGGAGTCCGTGGGTGAGAGGTGCCCGTGGAGCCCCAGGACGTGCTGGACCCCACCATAGCCTTCATAACAGTGTCCCGCAAGCCCGCCCCCCGCCTCCTTCTCACAGGATCAGAGACGGAACATCGAAGCTGCTCCCTGAACAGGGACGGGGGCTGGACTGACTGGAAATACGGAGGAGGAGCCGCTGGTAGGACGCAGATGCCGCCACGGAGACTGTCAGGAGGGAGTGGAAGGCGGCCTGAGGATGAGCAGGAACGGGAAACTAAGACGGAGGGAGGGGAGCGCAGGGGACCGGCAGAGGCCTGTGGCTTGGCTCCTGCCTGTCGGAGCAGTGGTCAGGTCAGGGAGCTTTGTGGTGAATTCAGGGAAAAAGAGGTTGTTTAACAGGGAGAGAGGGTAGAGCTGAGGACTCACCACGTTGACTTTGGAAATGTGGTTTTGGTCCCAGTGACCCCACCTGGCATAGAAGGCTCTCTGGTATTGAACTGATGGGAGGAATAAAACGAACCTATGCTTTACGCCATTACAACCAAAATGTTTCCAGAGGGCAGGGACTGGCTGGCCCCACACGACCACAGAAAGCTTTTACTGAAGCGGCAGCGCCACTTCACACCTGTGCAGGTAGCTCCCGGGGACCTGTGTCCTTGTACAGGGTCTGAGGTCCTCAACACAGAGCTTGCAGCCTGCTCTCTGGGGACCGCCGGGCCGGTCTGGGAGGCCTGCCGCGCCCTCTGCACACGCAGCGCGGGGAGCGGGCTCCTCTGTGCCGAGCAGGTCAGCGCCCGGCGGCCTGGGCGGTGACCTGTGCCCTCGGAATGGAGGTGCTGTGAGCGAGAGGAGATCTCCTGTCAAGCCCCACAGACACTGCTCCCGTCAGAGAGAAAAAAATTCTCCTGAACCACGTATCCTTCCATTTCTTACAGGAAATTCAGTTCTGTTCTCATCTCATGGGACCACCGTCATACATGCCGGCTGTCATTGACGGAAACCTTGTTACGCGGCCCAGGACTGACCGCCATTCCTACGGTTGTCATTACTCTGCCTCACATTCCTGCTCACCATCCTTTTCCTCTTCCCCATCAGCCCCTCTGACTCAGGCAGCCCTCCTACCCCCACTGCCTCTATGACTCTATTTGCGCAGCGCTTTGCCTTTTCCCTGAGTGCACAATCTACAAGAACCTGTTCTGATACAGAACAGGAATCTGTTGTTACCCTTTGACCTTGCTCTTGGGGAGGTGGCCTGAAACATCCTGATGGGACGGGAGCAGCAGCGGAGGACTGGTGGCTCGGAGCCTTTCTTCCTGGCCTCACGCCCTCCCCACTGCGTGGGACTGGGACTCGGTGACAGAAGCTTTGTGGGCTCCACTGAATCCTTCCTTTGTGATGGGAATGTAGCACAGCCTGCTTCCCTCTCAATGGAGCGGGATCCCTTTCCAATTATGCAGCTTCGCAGGAAGAGGGTGGGGCGCAGGGAGAATGGTCCCGGAGACTCTTTGTTGCAGGTCTGGTCCTGCTGCCAGGTCTCCTCCCCCAAAGCCTGCTGAGCTGGACGCTTGTGGGACTGAGTCTTCCAGGGCCACAGGGCAGAGCTCAGTGGCCATGTGAGGGTCTAGATCAGACCCTCAGTTTCTAAACTGTGATCTATAGAATTTCTGGGATTCAGCAAGACGGCGGCAAGGGGGAGCTTGACAACCGGCACTTGGGACCTTCGCTCTGTGCGGCCAGAGCAGCGCAGCGCTTCTTTCTCTTGTTTGATTCTCTTGAAATCATTGTCTTTATATTAGGTTCCTAGAGCTTCCAATCCAGGTGTGGACTGACAGCGATGACCCACTTGGGTCTCAGCCAGGTGCGGCACCTGATGTCCAGAGCTGTGACTGCCTTCCCCAGGGCACAGCCTCTTCCCTCCCCGCACCCTGCCCCGAGTCCCTGCTGGCTCTGGTTGGCCAAAGGTCTGCGTGGGGTCGGAGGAGCAGGTGCCGGGCTCTCATGCTCCTGCCGGCTTCGACCGGGGAGGATGCTGAAACTGCCGAAACCTCAAGCCCCACCAGGGAATAGTGGTAGAGTCGCCTTCTCAGGTCAGAATGGAAATCACATGTAATCTGGGCACCTTGCCCGTGTTGCTGGGCAATCATTTGCATACAATTAGATTTCGTATCCAGGTACTCCTGAAAATTAGCTCTATCTAATCCTCTCCCCCTTGGTGCCAGCCCTTGAACTGGGAATTTCCCTTCATTCACGTGGGACATGGGTTAAACTTTTTAACTTGACAGGTAGTCATTCATTTATTTACTCCCCTTACAAACAGTTACTAGGTAGCTGTTTTGTTCCCAACACACTGTGCTGGGTGCTGGGCATACGGAGATGAAGAAGACAGACGAGAGCTTTCCTTCACGGAGCTCACACTCCAACAGGGGAGACGGGGAGCGAACGAGAAAAGAAAGCAAGGCTGTACAGCCTGTGAGATACTGTCATCAAGGAACGTGGCGAGGAGCTGGGTGAGGGAGCGGGCCAGGAAGTCCTTGCGGAGGAGGTGGCATGTTTGAGCTGAGAAGCAGACGTAGTAAAGAAGGAGTCAAACAAAAGAGACAGGTGGGTGGGTGTTGTGGGCTGCGGGAACAGCACATGCAAAGGCCCTGAGGCAGGACATGCTCGGTGTGGCTGAGAAACCCCGGCAGAAGCTGCTGAGGGCTGGGGAGCTGAGAGGCGCGCTAGGAGAGAGGGAGGAGCCCCCCCACCCCGCCCCACGTCTGGTGAGACCTGAAGACCATAGCATGGGAGTTTGGGTTTTAGGCAGAGAGGAATGGGAAGACGTTGATGGGCTTTTGGAAGTTCCCACTGCAAAAGAGCATACATAAGAGATAGGTGAAGTTTAAGGGATAAGAAGTCTAAACCCACACAGCGTTCACCATTTGCCTCCCCAACGCCATTTCTCACTCCGGGGAGAGAGCTGTTATCCTGAATTTTAGTTTATGATCTTTGCCTTTCTTCCCAATATTAACAACAATTGGCCGATATATTGTTTGGTTTTGCCTGGTTTCGAACTTCGTATCAGTGGAACCTTGCTGGGTGTATTCTGCAATTTGCGTTTCTGTTCAGCGTCGCACGTGTTAGAACAGTCCATGTCGGTGTGTAATTGCTTTCCCTGCTGCGTGGTACGCCAGGGGCCGAGACTGCCACGGCGCGTCGCCTCTCCTGGGACATGCCCTTATTTCATTGTCTAAGGTTGAATCAACCCTGCCTTTCTGGGATAACCCCAACTTCACTGCAAGGTATTACCATTTTTAAAAATCATTGTTGGACTCTCTTGGCTGAGATTTCATTTAGGATTTTTGTTTCTGTGCTGGTGGGTCACATTGGCCTGTCACTTTCTTGCCTTGACCTTTTTTTCAGTTTTGTGGTCAAGGTTATACACGCCACATCAAAGGACCTGGGGCAGTGTTTTCTGTTCTCTCACCCTCGGGAGCACTTGTATAAGATGGATAAAACCAAGGGAGGGTTTGGTAAACATAGGTACCATATTGTTATCCTTCTGCAACCCTATGTTTTTGGTGCAGAATTGTGGCTTCCTTGCATGCACCCCTACCCAAACCCTTGCCCTATGCCCCAGGAAAACAAAGAAAACACGTGCCTCCCCCAGGAGGACCTCCAACTGGGATGCTCACTGCTTACTCAGAAAGCTATGTTTCTGGTGTTTTACAGGTGGGTCCTTCATTCAAGAGCTCAGCATGAAGAGTTCTTTTCAGGCCTTCCTTGAGCCTCCCAGGTAATGACAGGTAGGTGCCTTTCTTAACTGGTTAAAAATATTTCTTGAAACCTGAGGCACGGGATCCCTCCCTTAGCCCTCAGGGCTGCCTTGAGCCTGAGCCAGGAAGGGTCCAGCCGCAGGGTCCAGAGGTGAACCAGGCCAAGCTGGGGCCCAAGTCTGCTCACCCAGAAGGCTCACCCAGGCAGCTGTTTTAGGAACATGTTGGAAGCCTCGTGGTCCAAATCCTCTAAGCACAAAATTAGCTTCTTTCCATAGTTTTCAAAGGGAAAGAACACCATACTAAATATAACATGGGGCGACGAGCCAGAACCGAGACAAACAGCCCCCAGCTGCACCTCAGGGAGCGGAGCGTTCCCCTCCCCCAGTGAAACCCTCGGGACCCTTCCAACAGCTGAGGGATCAATGAACAATTTTAAGCTACTGTTGGACTTGTAACCCTGCCGTGAACCCCCAAAGCAAAAGCTTTTACTTCATTTTCTTTTTCTAAGCACACGTACCTGTCTCTGTTTTCTAATTCTGATTTCCCCCATAAGAAAAAGAAAGGAAAAGTCAATCTAATCCCATCACACAGGAAATCACGGTAAACGTGGTGGTGTGTATAATTTGAGTATTTTAGAATGTAATACACTAAAGCGTGTTTCTCAACCTCTTTCCCACTGTCCTCTAAAGGCTCTTTAAAAGGCACTCTTTTGGTGATACACCCAGGACATTTTGATACCGCGGAGATGCTGTCTGTTTATGGGCTGTGGAGGACTGCAGACCATGCTAATATCTACGATTATTACAACATCCCCTGAAACTAAATTTTTCCCCTTGTGGGAGATCTCACCACATTTAGAAAGCAGGCATTAAATAGTATTTAATAAGAAACCTTTCTATGAGAATGTGCAATGTGCTGGTCCCATCCAGTTCCAGGGGCTTTGACCTATTATAACTCCCCATGAGGTGAGTGCTGGAGAGCTTTATCTACGTTTTATACTTGCGGAAATCGAGGCACAGAGAGGTTGGATAACTTGTCCAAGGTCACACAGCTCAGAAGATACAGAGTGAGGATCTGAGCACAGGCAGCCTGGCTCCCAAGTTCACACTTAACCACTACGCTCGGCTGCTTTGCAACAACACCTTCTGATTGTACAAAATTCAAAATACAGCAATAGAGAGGAAAAGGGACACATCCCCAGGCCCCTTCTTCCCCAGAGGCAGTCACGGTGATAAATTTGGAACATGCCCCTCGCCTGGGATTTTTACACACGTTTGTATGTATGAAAATAGATTGTCTCTCTCTTTTTTATTTTTTTAACATAAATAGGCTCATCCATTCTTTTTCTCTTATATATTCAAATATATGTATCTCTGTGTAGACTATTTTATTATCCATTATTTTAACCTTGCTCTTTGACTTTAAAATGTATCATTAGCTGCCTTGAGACCATAATTTAATAAGTGCATGGACCATATTTTATTTAACCAGATCAGATTATCGGCTATTAAAGTAGCTTCTAGCGTCCCAGGACCATAAAGCGATGATGAATATCCTTGCCTGGCACATGATTCTTAGAAGTTGGAATTACAGAACGAAAGGCTGCAAACTGTTGAGATTTTTGATCCACAGATGCCAGGATGTGCCATCCAGAAAAACCGTATGAAATTGCCCATCCCAACAGCCTCCCCCGCACTGGGTGTTAGCGCCTGTTTTCAGTCGCTGACAGTTTCGCAGGTCTCAAGTGTGTGAACCCTGACATTGTTAATTCTGCCAGTGACCCTCATCCAGGGTCTGTTTTACTCACTGACCAAATAAGACCCCCTGACTCACCCAACGCACGAATGGAGAGTTAACCAGGGCGGGGGAGGGGTGGTTAAAATGGCCCCAGTCACTGGTTTAATAAACGCACCGCCAGCCTCCCGGGTCCAAGGCCTGCCTGCCGGGCCCTTAGCGGGTGCTCAGTATGGGCTTTCGCATCTCCTGCTTCCAGCGCAGGCCTCTGGTGGCTTCTCTCCAACGCTGAGCCCTCCACCTCTGGCCTTGTCTCAGGTCCATTTGGCAGAACTCGGGCGTTTCTAGGGCTGCCAAAGCCCTCATCCTCCCCTTCGCTGGCCACGCGTGATATTGTGAGGAACAAATGTTCTTGCGCTTTTGGTAGACTGTTCCCAGCTGGTCCCACTCCAACGGCCTGCAGCGGGATCCCTGTGCCCTGCATGCCACATGAATGCATACGCGTGCACGCACAGCGTAGCATATTCAGGGTGCAGGCCCTATGAGGCCAGGGGGACTCCTGTCTTGCAGAGATTCCCCATACGTCCTCCAGCCCAGGTCAGGGCACCCGCCTGCCCCGCTGCACAGCTCCTGTACTTGCTCCCCACTTTACAGGCCTCCCTTGCAGACTGTTTGCCGCTGGCCTGGAAGCCCCGCCAGCCTTTAGCTTGCTCACCAGTGTTCCCCTTGTGCCCATAACACTGCTTCGCAGAGGCACAAGAAATGTGTGGAGGGGAAAAAGGGAACAGACCTCAAGCTGATAAAGGATGTTATCCCAAATAGTTTTAGAGTATTTATCAGCAAAGTGGTCAGTTTCAGATTAAGGCCATTGTTTAATGAGAAAATATCTCTGAAGCGTCAGATTTCAAGCCACCTGGTCGGCCATCCTTTTGGGAAGATTGGAAAGAATGCAGAATTGAAAAGAGGACCTTGCCCGTGTAAACATCTGCAAACATTTGCTGTTCTGTGGGGGCTGCTGTCGCAGGAATAACAGACGGAGGAGCGGTCACATCCTTGCTCGCCTTTGGCCGCTGGTGGTGCTCTAGGCCAGCCCTTCAGGTGGCTTGCTCCTGCGGCTCACCGGCCCAGCCAACTGATGGTTATGGATCCCAGGCCAGCCGTCTGCTCCCTTTAGCCTGAGGTCTCCGCGATGCTTCAAGGGAAGAGGGCTTCTCTTCCAACGGGCACAGCATCTAAGACGGGGACTGTGCAAGCTCTGTCCCTTTAAGAAAAGGAAAAACCCATGTGGCCGGAGAGAACTGCGCCTGGCAGTCTGGCTTCATGTGGCCTCTATTCATTTCATTCATTTGCCTCAGCCGACAGTTTTTGAGTCTCTGCTGTGTTCCAGGCACAGAGGTGAGGAAGGTAGAGTCACAGGGAGAGAGAGACTCACCGGGGTCGTTGCTGGAGGCTTGTAGGAACACGCCGAAGGGGCGGCTGAGCCGGGGCCAGCACAGAGCTGCCGAAATGCTGGAGCTGGGTGTGCGAAGAGGGGCGAGGCGAGAGCTGAGTGGGAGAGGCAGGACCAGGTGAAGCCAGCCACGTCCCTCATTCCAAAGAGCCTGGATTTTCAGCTGCAGGAAATGGGGGTGGGGAAGACCGCAGTGGGCCATCTGGACTGGGTCGTGTCATTGACTGATGCCCGTCGCCCAGGCGATTTTGTTATTCTTGACCCTAGCTCATGCAGGCCATCATTCATACTCCTCGCATACCCAACGAGGTCCGAGACTTTACTGCACTTCATTAAATTCCGCAAAATGTTTTAGCGACCCAGAGCCCTGACCTTTCCGGCCTCCTGCAGGGAAAGGTCTGGCTTTTCCTTTTTCGGGTGGGTGTAGGCGGATCAGCCTTCCCTCTGCAGGCTCACAGAAGGAGCCCAGCGCGTAAGACATCTGGAATCCATCAAAGGCGAGCCCAGCCGGAGCCCGTGGCTCAGCGCTGCTTCTGAACTCCTTCAAAGGTACAGCCGCTGTGTTCACAAAAGCCCTGTGAATTGGAACTGATTTTCCCCTCTCCTCTTTTTGCTTTTCTTTCAGACCTGTTGGTTGCAGCTGTCCACACGGGATGCCTCGCGTTTGCCTGGGAGTTCGGCTGCTGCTTTTTTTAGTGTAACGCTAGGGATCCTGTTAAGTGCATTTACGGGTTTTTGTTGCGGTAACGGCTGCTGCTTTTTATTTATTTTCTTCCTTTGAACCGGGGCCCGGCCCTGCTCCCACTGACATGATGGCCCAGTCCAAAGCCAACGGCTCTCACTATGCGCTGACTGCCATCGGCCTGGGGATGCTGGTGCTCGGGGTCATCATGGCCATGTGGAACCTGGTACCCGGCTTCAGCGCCACCGAGAAGCCGACAGCTCAGGGGAACAAGACGGAGACGGGCAGCGGCATTCTCAAGAGCAAGACGTTCTCTGTGGCCTACGTGCTGGTCGGGGCCGGGGTGATGCTGCTGCTGCTCTCCATCTGCCTGAGCATCCGGGACAAGAGGAAGCAGCAGCGAGGCGAGGAGATGGCGCACATCCAGTACCCGCCGGGGGCCGAGCCCCACGCCCAGGAGGAAGACAGGTGAGGATGGGCTGACCCGCCCCAGCCCAGCCATGGACGCTCACAGGGCTCGATGATGAGAATAATTTAGACTAGGGAGCTGTACCTTCCCACTGTCTCATTGTACTACTCACTTTAGGCATCTATCCCAGAGTGTCCCAGGTAATGTGGTATGAGTGGATTCCAGCTGTACCAAGATGTTGACACCCCCAGGGAAGCTGCCTGGGGCCTGGGGTGGCCAGAACCCCTGAACCGGCTGCGTGTCCGTTCCCCGCAGCGTGCTCTGGGTATCTGCTTTGAGTGGAAAAGGTTGGGAAGCAGTATTCTATTTGATCAAAAATGCCACCAACAAATTTAAAACGTAAGTGATGTATTGGGGAAGGTACGATAAAGGTCGACGTCCCCATGATTAAAAGAGCCCTTCACATGAATATGAAAGATGAGCATGCCAGTAGGAAAACGGACAAAGGATACAAGCAAGCATTTCACAGACGTCCCGATGATTGATGTTCAACCGCATTAGTCATGAAATGCTAACAAAGATGGTATCGTTATTTTTTGCCTCTCATGTTGGCTGAGACAGACAGCCCTGGTGCTGGAGGGTTCCTGAGGGGAACATCACGTTTCTGAACGGGAGTCTGCACAATAAGAGACAGTGTTAAAGATGTGCTTAGCTATTGATTCTATTCCTAAGAGCTTATCCTTGGGAGATAATCGCACAAATGTGAAGGAGTTTGTACCTGTGTTTTATCAGAACATTGCTTAGAATAGCAAACACTGAGAAACAACCTAAATATCCATCAATCAAGCTAAAGTGTGACATGCCCTTCAGGGACCTTCTATGCAGCCATTGCTGATCCATACTTGCTGATGTGGAGCCGTACCCACCACACTGAGACGAAGCAGTTATATAACACAGCGGCGTCTTTGGTTAAGGTCATAATCGCATCAGATATTGTGGCTATGGGATCAGAGAAGGATCTGGAAGAGGGTGCGGCAGAAGGGCGTCAGTGGTTCTCTCCAGGTGGAAGGACTTGGGATGCTTTTATTTTCTTCACTAGACTTTTCTATGTTTGCATTTTCTACAAATATCTCTTATCTTGTTAGTGGGAGAGAGTTGTTTTTATTTTGGAAAAATTAAATGATTTTCTGATAATAAAAGACAATCATGCATACGCTAGGAAACTTGGGAAGAGAGAAAGGAACAACGAAAGAAAACCAGTCACCCATAGCGCTAGCCATAGGCTCACGCACGTGCATTGCCAGGGACGAGGAGAGAGCCTAGACAAACAGCAGCATTTCTGTTCTTGGCCGTTACCACCCGACAGGTTCAAGTGTAGGGTCCTGGAAAATGGCATTGGCATGACTCCCTATAAAATGGGTAAAAAAACACCCTGATTTTTGGGGTTTTATTTCAACAGTCAAATGAGAGTAAGGCTGAGGACCTGACCTGTCCTTTGAGTCTTATGGTGAAACTGGAAGATAAAAATCACGGAATAATTTGAAATGCATATAAATTTTATATGCAGATAGTCCTCCTCTACCCGAGAACAATGATTTGGCTTCAAGTTGGCAGCGATTTAATGCATGTTTATGTTGCCTTTGGCCAAAGGACCAGCTGGGCATCAGAATAGCCCGCTCAGACCGTTGTTAAGTGTGAGGCTTCAAGGCAAGGTGGGGTGGGAAACACCCAGATGATATGGTGTAGTTGAGAATGTGGCACGCAGTTCCCAACCCCTCGCTTCATAAAGGTATGGCCAAACGGGTAACCTTGATATATCAGTTTCCCATCCATAAAATGGGTATAGTAATGGTACCTAACTCACAGTATTGTTCAGAAGATGAAATGGGTTTGTACGTGTTTAAAAGTACTTAGAACACTGCCTGGCCTGGCTCTTAGCAAATAGATGAAGTGGCAGCTTTTATTACTTCTCGGACCCATTTGTTGTTGACAAGGCTGATGACTATTGGCCCAGTGACAACACAGGACTTAGAACCCACCTTCTGAGGATTGTATATGACTTGTGCGCCCACTAATACTCCGTGTCTGTGCTGGTTGCCTTGCAGCCAAGAGGAGGAGGAGGAGGCCGCCTCCCGGTACTACGTCCCCAGCTACGAGGAAGTGATGAATACAAACTTCTCAGAAGCCAGGGAACCAAACCAGAGCCCCAGGATGAGCATCTCTCTCCCCTCCTACGAGTCCTTGACGGGCCTCGACGAGACGAGCCCCACGACCACCCGGGCCGACGTAGAGGGCAGCCCCGGGAATCCCCCCGACAGGCAGAACTCCAAGTTGGCTAAACGCCTGAAGCCACTGAAAGTTCGAAGGATTAAATCTGAAAAACTTCACCTCAAAGACTTTAGGATCAACCTCCCAGACAAAAATGTCCCTCCTCCCTCCATCGAGCCTTTGACGCCCCCGCCACAGTACGACGAAGTCCAGGAGAAGGTCCCCAATGCCCGGCCACCTGACTGATGGCCCCTCTCTGGTGTGTTCCCTCCTGTCACTCACCCTCCGCACCAACAGAGCCCCAGGGAGCCACTCCAGCCACAGTTGAGAAGCGAGGGGACAGATGCACTGAGCGGTTTTGGATGAGGGGTGTGGGTTGCGGAGTCATGTGATTCTGGGGTGTCTCACACCCACAGAACCTCGTGTAGCAGGTGCACGGGAAAGATGCTGGGGACCCCATCTGGGGACGGGTGTAGGCATCTTCCCCATCGTCCTTCCTCAACTGAATTGTTGATGACAACAGCCTCTTCCCGACCAGGAAAGGCTACCTGGCCACTGGTTTAGATTGTGGTTTTGTTTTGCTTTCACTGGGACTGTTTTGTTTCCAAAAGAAAACAAGTCATGCCTTTGCTTTCTTCACTGGCATCCTGAACCGTGGGCAGGAAATACAACTCACCTTTGAAGAAAGGACTTGGAGCCGTTTGGTGAATTAAGCAAAACAGACGGCTGCGTGACTCGGGGGGTGAGGCCCGGCTGGGGTTCTCAGGGCCCCGCACGTCGGTGGTTCTTTGACGGCCCAGGCCCTGATGATGCTTAAGATCATAGTCTAAACGGTATACTTTCCTAGTCTCCTATTTAACGGCAGGAAAGGCCACGTTCTGTTCCTTCTAAAATGCTGTGCAACTGAGCTTTTTATAATAAAATATTTTATATGTAGTACATTTGGGTGCTGAATTACTTTAGCAGCTCTTCCAGTACTGATTTGCGTATGGAGCAACATCAATAATAATAACAGCGGGTATGTCCCAGACACTTAATGTATGCCGGGCCCTGTGCCAAGCCCTCCACATGTGGTGCCCCGTATCGTCTGTGCCCATTTTGCAGCGCAGCTCATGGAGGCTCAGGTTAGTTTAAGTACCCTATGCTGCACCCATAGTAAGTGGCAGGGCTGGGATCTGAATACAGTCTGTTGGGCTCCAGGGCCTGAGTTCTTAAACGTTCCCCTGTGCAGTTCAACATAAGTGAAGAGCTTTCAGATGTTGAATGAGGACTTGTGTTCCCCAAGAGCTGAGGCTGTCCCCATCCATGCGCGCGCCCCACAGAAAGTTTCGGTGCTTGGACAGCAGCTCTCTATCTGTAGAAACATCTCTCTCTCTCTCTGAGAATTGGCCCAAGAGGGAGCTCTGTCCTGCCTGTCATCTGCCCCTAGAACTGATGGGCTGTGTGATCATGGAGGGTGGGTGAGCGTGTCCTCATGAGAGGACAGTGTGACTTTCTACAGAGTCCAGGCAAGCAGTCCAACTAATGAGAAATGCCCAGAGGATCGCAGACCACCAAGAGGAGCCGGGATGTCTGGGGTCAGGGTCGGGACGCTGGGGTGGGAGTCTGGGAAGACAGGCCTGAGTCCGAAGGTGCCCCCCTAGCATTGCAGCGTGTGGGGCAGGCGTGCGTGCGGGGAGTCTGCCTGCTCACTGGGAGCTGGGTGGGAAGAGTGAATTCTTAGGCTCTAGTTGTTTTCTAAAAGCTCCCTGGGAGGGAAGTGACAGCAGTTTGGGAATGAATCACCTTCTTATCTTGGGAGTGGCAGCAGATCCTGAAGTTCCAACCTTTCACTGTCTTGATGCAAATTATCTAAAAAATAAGAAGGCTGAGCCAGCCTGTGGCTCTCCGGGTGTCTCAGCTGGACCTGTTCTTTGGTTACTCTCTAGGCTTCCTCCCAATAGGAGGGGAAAGAAAAGGGGAACGGCAGGGTTCTAAGGAGCTGAGCAACAACTTTTTAAAAGGGCTCACAACCTGGCCTCTCGTAGACATCTTCTGGGCTGTCTGCCCAACCTAGACCCTCCTTGGGAAAGGAAGAGGTTTGAGGTTTGTAGTGGGGTGCATGGTGGCCCCCAAAGATATCAGGAACCTGAGAATGTTATCATATATGGTAAAGGTTGTGCTGATGTGATTCGGTTAAGGATTTTGAGATGAGAAGATGCTAGATTATCCAGGTGGGCCCTATGTGTCATCTCCAAAAGTCCTTATGAGTGGGAGACAGGGAGACCCCGTACATAGAAGAGGAGGAGGCCATGTGACCACGGAGGCAGAGGCTGGAGTGACAGATGCAGCCACAAGCCTGGGAGCGCCAGCAGCGCCCAGAGCTGGAAGAGGCCAGGATGGAACTTTCCCTGTTGCATCCAAGGGAGTTCGGCCCTGCTGAACACCTTGATGTCAGTCCAGTTGATGGGAATTGTCAGCTTCTGGCCTCCAGAGCTCTGAGGGAATACTATTCTGTTGTGTGAAGGCCACCCACCAGCATTGTAGGCATTTGTTACACAGCGGCCTTAGGAAACCAACACAGGCCTCCCTCTTCTATTTCAGGGACCAGCCCTCTTGGACCCAAACATTTCCCAACTCTTCCTCCGGGCAGGAATACTGCGGGAATAGCACCAAGGACCCTATTTGTTTTCTATGTGTGGGAACAACCGAGTAGGAAGTTATTCATGCGACTCAGAATGTATCATGGATGTTTAGCCTATGAAATGTAGAGCATGGATTCACCTCTGTCTAAACAAACATGTAGAGCATGTTGGCTAGAGGCTGGAGGCCTGAATCGTGCCTAGAGAGGCTAAGGAGTTATCTGCACTATTAAACGAAAGCCACCTGTCCAAGCACGGGTCATCTTCACCTCAGACTTTGCCAGAGTTCGCTTGTGTTTGCTCCTTGGTTCCGACCTATCAGAGCTGTCAGTTAACTACCCAAAAAAAAAAAAAAAAAGGTTAAAAAAGTAAAAGCCTTTTCCTCTGCATCATATTTTTGTTCTTAAGATAAATTCAAGAAGCCACCCACCCATTCCTGAGCCCCCTAAATGGACCCGGGGCTGTGAAATAGCAGAGAAAATTCCCACCGAGCTCTCCCATCCCACCAAAAGGAGAAATCTCAGCAGCCATGTTGGTGTCCTGTGACCTACACCCTCTCAGGTCACAACTGATTGGACCCGAAGTATGTGTCTACCTGACCCAGGAGAACCAATCAGAAGCTGAGCTGGGTGAGCTGTGACCTTTGTTCCCAGGAATTGGTCCTGGGATGGATTGAGAGGCCATCGGGTGATGTGGTCTCAGGGATTAGGGGGCTGCTTGGGAGCCATCGGGATGGGACACAGGAGAGTGAAGCAGGGGACCTGCTCTGTAGAGAGAGAGCGAACCTAACTGCTGAAAGAGGCAGACATGAACGATGAGACCGCAGAGATGGCGTCTGCTGATGACTTTCTGGTCCTTGGTCCTGTCTCCTGGGAATCCCAGCTGTACTTCTGCCCTTGGGATCCATAAAAGATGCTGTGTCCTCCCAACAAATTCCCCCCTTTAGCTCTACCCCTTAATTTAGCCGAAGCCCTGGAAGGCAGACACTGCCTTTGCCTCGCCGGCAGCGCTGGGCCCGTAGGGCACAGGTCGCCTACTCTCACTGTTAATTTTCACTTTTCTCAGCCTGGTTACAGTTTTGATGAAGGGCGGCTGCAAGCAGATGGTTGAGGCAAAAGGCCGGACTGTGAGGGGCTATGGTAGAGAGCGCTGCCTGGGACGTGTGTGCGGTTGAACAAGCCGAGCCCATCCACAAATATGCAGTGACTTCCTGCTGTGTGCCAGGCACTGTTCTAGCCTCTAGGGATGCAGCAGTGAGGCTAAAATCCTGCTCTCCGTGGGAAGGGTCCTTGCTTGGGCAGTGTTTCCGAAAACGGGTCCTGAGACCTTGGGTGACATTAACCATGGTGATTTTGGACTAGCCATTTGAATGGGTACAATAAACTAGAAAGCCACAGGGGAGCCAGGCGCACAAGAAAACTGGTCTGCAAGGAGAGGCAGACAGAGCAGAGGGACGTGGAGGAAGCAGCCATTTGCAAGAAGAGATGGATCAGAGGCTTTGCCTCTCCTGGCCTGGGTCCTCCTTAGCCTGGCCACACGCCCTGTAGGATGCCCTAAGCTGCTTTCAGTAGAGTCCCGTCTGCCAGACAAGTTGGAGTGGGTTTCTGTTCCTTGGTGCCAAACGTCCTGAGATGACCTGGTTCTGGATGGACAGTGTGCAATTGCAAAGCCAAAATAATCTGCCAGCGTGCAGCAAACGGAAAACAGACTCGGCTGTATCGCTGGAAATGGATGGATCCATTGACTCGCACTGTAAGAGCCATACACATAGAGCCCCTCTGAGGTTTAATGAGCTCGCATGTTGCCGTAAAGGTCCTGACAAGGACCACTTAGTCCCCAGAACAAACCAGGCAGAGTGTGCAAGTGCAGAGCTATGAGAGGACAGCCCCCATCCTGTCTGAGGGCTCAGAGGACAGCACGTGGGCTTTCTAGCAGGGAGGACATAGCTTTAATCCTAGGCCGGCTGCTTCCCGGAGGTACAATACTGGGCAATAAATGGGACCCCCGCCCCCGCCCGGAGCCTGGATCTCTCCGCCAGCAAAACGGAGGTCACTGATTTCGAGGTGGGTACCTAAGCTGTCCCTGGTGCAGAGAAAGTGATGGCTGCGCGGCAGCCGGGACCCGACCACAGCCGCCTGATGGAGAGCCTGGAGCCCAAGCACTTCTCCGAGCATGGGCCTCACGCTCATTTCTGCCAACATGTTCTGGGAAATTCACCAGGTGCCCTGAGCAGTATGTGAGGAATCCTCGCTGAAAGCCAGCTCCAGCGAGGGCCGCGGGGCCGCATAAGTCAGGCCAGGGGAGCAGCCCTGGGGCCAGCCTGGAGCAGGCCTTGCTCCCTAGGCGCGGGGGCGGCACTTCCCCTCGCGGAGCATGGACGACCCATCTTGTTTGACTTTCAGTCTCATGCCGCCTTGTCAATAGGTTCAGAACCGGGTGTCTGGGACTAAGAAAGTGACTCTTAAGAAGCACAGCCATTGGGGTTTTAGAGACCCACTTTCCTGGTGAGGCCCCAAGATCGCTCCCCTGGATTTTAATGGGTGGAAGTGGGAAAGGTCCCTGATTAGATCCATTTGGAAATCCCCAAGTTAAACAAAACCTATACACTCAACGGATTTTTCCTGAGCACCTACTATGTGTCTTGTGCTAGGGAGACACTGCACACAAATGGACCAGGTTCCTGCTGACACAGAGGCTACATTCTGGGCAGAGGGCATAGGAGGTGAACAAGTAAATACATACATAACAGAATGTCAGCAAACAAGGAGTGCCGTGAAGAAAAATGAGGCAGGCAGGGCAAGGGCCAGGAGGAGGGGACAGGGGGTCAGAAAAGTCTCTGGGGGAAGGGACACTGGAGAAAAGTAGCCAGTGAGCCCCGTGGGTATCTGGGTACAGGGAATTTCAGAAAGTCTTCTCTCATAGGCTTCTGCACATTATCAATCTCCACACGCTGCCGAGCAGAGCATTTCCCAAACCACTTTGGCCACAGAATCTTTTTCCCCACAAGGACCACATCCAGGGAGTGGAGAGTGAGCCAAACCCAATAACTCAGCAGGGCAGCCACCGGCCGAGAGCAGAAAAGAGACTTGTCCAGAGTCCTACAGTTCATTGACGACGCTGTCTGGTAGGTAGCTTTCTCTGCTGTGCGGCATTCAGATCCCAGGTCACCAGCGAGGGGAAACCACTAAGACCGACCCAGCACCAGGCAGCCAGAGAGAGTACCGAGACTGTAGGTCAGGGTGAGCCCACGGCGGTGCCGGTGCAGGGGGCCTCCAGCTC